ATATACACATTTCACCTCTTTTTGCATTACTGCTGACAGACTGTAAACTGCCTTTCTCCCACACCCAAGCATCCTTCAGAAATCTTCCACTCAGCCGTGCCTCTGTCCCAGACTCTTCACTCAGGGCAGTGTTACAGGTCCTGTGCTAGTGGGAAGGAGCGGTCCAACCAGACCTGAAGACCCTACCCTTTCGGGAGGAGCAGTGCTGAGCAGACGGGCCAGCCACTTGCCAGCTGGATGTCTCAATAAGCTTTGAGATGGGCTGTGGGCCAGCATCGGCAGAGGCAGCTGAAGGGGGAAAGGCTGGAAGCGTTGTATCGTAAATCACTGCTGACCCACGGGGAGTGCCCGTCCTAGAAGCTAATGGCCTCGCCAGCAGAGAACTGACCAAAATTTTCAGAAAGAACATGATGTAAACAGGGGGGATGGACTCCAAATGTGAGTAAAATCCCTCCCCAGGGTTTGGAGGAGTGGGAGAAGAGCTGAGCTGTCTCTTGGTTCTTGTGCGCTGTCTGGAGGATGAGAGGGTTGGGGGAGGGGGTGGGCTTGCATAATGCCTGGCTGGGGCATTTGTTTGAAGGGCTCAAGGTGACTGAATGTAGTGTTTTAGGATGTGGGCACCAGGAGACTTTGTTGCAAATAAATCCATGAGTAAACAGCAAATGCAAACCTTAAAGACCTTTTGCTGTTAACAGAAAACCTATGGCATCACAAACCAAGCAGCTGTGTGGAGCTGGCATTCGTGAGGAGACAAAAGAATCGGCAGATTGGAGTGTGATGAAAATGGGGTGGGGTTGGGGGGCTGGGAGGAGATAGAGGAATCTGCCTTAGCAAAGGAAATCCCTTTCCACTGCAATGTGCTCATTGTGAGCTTGTGAGTTTCTGTCCTTTCTGGTCAAAGAATGGGCAGCATGTTTGTTGTTTAAGGTTTTCCTCCAGTGCATTGTGAGAATTAAGCATTGTAATCGATAGACATAGTCAGAAGAAATCTCTCACTGCTACCAATAGGGGTGTGTGTGTGTGTGTGTGTGTGTGTGTGTGTGTGTGTGTGTGTGTGTGTGTGTGTGTGTGTGTGTGTGTGTGTGTGTGTGTGTGTGTGTGTGTGTGTGTGTGTGTGTGTGTGTGTGCGCGTGTGTGCGCGCCCGTGCTACTGCTACCAATAGGGGGTGTGTGTGTGTGCGTGTGTGTGCGCGCGCGCCCGTGTACAGAGGCTTGATCTCAGGGCCTGGGTATCCTGGGTACTATTCCTTAGTTTAGTTTTTTTGTTTGCTCAAGTCATAGCTCCATTTTCAGCTTCTTGGTGGTTAATTGGTGATTAAAGTCCCACAGACTTTTCCTGCTCAGGTTGGCTTCAAACTGTGATCCTTAAATCTCAAGCTCCTGATTAGCTAGGATTATAGGTGGGAGCCACTGCCTACCCCCCACCTTGGAAATGTTTTCAGTGATAGCTATCTACTTGGAAGAGGAGGCTCAGATTTAATGAGGGAATGGGGCTATGACAGCCAGGTTACCCAACAGGTTGGCAGTAGAATTCAGTTCACTGCTTGTGGACTAGTTAGCACTGTTGTATTCCTCCTCTTCTCTCCATTCATTGCCGGAGCAGGGTACCTCTATCCCTCTTACCCTTGTCCTCCTGATTCGCTGGCTCCTAGGCATTAGATGAGAAGCAAAGTATCTTCTCACTTGGAGGGACCAGGAAGTAACAGGAAGCTAGACCCCCCCCCCCACTCCATGCCCACTGTGTGGGTGACTGCACCTCTGGGTGAGCGCTGGAAGCCCTAGCAGAGAGACTACTAAAATTGAAAAAGAGCTTGAGATATCTAAGCACACAAGAGATGGTGTCAGCAGCCGATGGGAATGAGAAGCCTGGAATTTAGCTTCAGATCTTCTGGCAGTTTTCTATACACTGGGGTGGGATGGAGAGGGGAGCATGGGAAGGGGTGTGACCTGTCCCAGAAGCATTCAGTGTGTTGTGTGTGGTGGGATGGAGTAAGTAATTATAACTGAGAGACAGAAAATGAATGGACATTGCTAGCTAGCCAGCATTCTCTTACCATCAAAAACAAAAACAAGTGATACGGCAGAACTTGCAAAGAGCTGTTTAGCAATTGTAGTTGTCTGAATGAAGACTATCTGAAGCCTGCAGCTCTGGCCATCAGAACTCGGGGGTTTGGTGTCTGTGTCTGAGAGGCTACATGTGTTGCAGGAGACAGGAAGCGGGGAGTGAAATGACTTAATCGGTTTTCCCAGAGCTGCACGGACCTGGCATCTTTTGCCGAGCCACTGGACTGCCACTGGAGTGGAGCTTGTGACCTCAGCTGATGGCCTGTGCAGAGGCTGCAGCAGAGATCCTAACCCTTAGAGCTGTGGAGTGGCATCTTAGTCATGTTGATGGATCTGTATGAACTGAACCATCATCCATGTCACAAATGCCCAGTGCAATCACAGTTACGGAATGGAATGGAGAAGAGGTTTAGAAATAATAGATGAAGGGGAAGAATGTGGGGGTGTGAGAGGAAGATCATTCAGGAAGTCAGGGCAGTGAGTGTATATTTCCCTGCATTTGGGCCTGTATTTTGGACAAACAGAGAAGAAACTCAGTGTAATTAGGTTGGGTATATTGCATATTATCTGAATTAAAAGAGACAGTATACCCTATGTTGATAAAGACAAGCCAATTCCATATAGATCAGTGTGGACAACAGAAGGCTCAGCCGGACCAGTTATTTAGCATGGCTTTGGGAATTTCCAAAGGCATTCCTAGTTCCATTTCTCCATGCTCTGAGTTTCAACTTTATTCTTTCATTGACCGTGTGTGTGTGTGTGTGTGTGTGTGTGTGTGTGTGTGTGTGTGTGTGTGTGTGTGTGTGTGTGTGTGTGTGTGTGTGTGTGTGTGTGTGTGTGTGTGTGTGTGTGTGTGTGTGTGCGCGCGGGCGGGTCCTGGCGCTTGATCTCAGGGTCTGGGCACTGTCACTGGGCTTCTTCTGCTCAAGGCTAGCACTCTACCACTTGAGCCACAGCTCCACTTCCAGCTTTTTGGGGGTAGTTTATTGGAGTTTCACTGACTTCTTGCCTAGGCTGGCTTCAAACTGTGATCCTCAGATCTTAGCCTCCTGTGTAGACTGGCTTTTTGTGAGATGAAGAGCTTTCTCTTGTCTGAGTGTATACCTTAGTGATACAGTGCTTGCCTAGCATGTGGAAGGCCATGGGTTCAATTCCCTGAGCTGCAAATATATATATATACACATATACATATATATATATATATATATACATATACATACATTCATATATATATATGTATGTGTTTCCAGTTAGCCTGTCGAACAGAAACTGAGCAGTTTACCAGTTCTTTCTCTCTTTTCTCGTTTTTGGTGTCTGCATTTTGGGCAGCAGATGGAGAACAAAAAGAAAAAAAAAGATAAACAAGTTGGCAGGGGGTAGGGAGATAAGAATTATCTCTAAACTCACAATATTTACATTTGGCCACACTTTCCATAATGGAATACCATTTTTACTCCCACTGCAGTCCCAGGAGAGAATGTTCTAGATCTCTTCCATACGGGCATTTAACCTCAGCCCCTGCCCCTCAATGTAGTTGACCATTTACGTGACTTGGTTGGACCCAATCTGGCTCAGGCCTTTCTAGCGTCCTGAACTATCCTTAGTCTTTAGAGATTGAAAGGTTGTTGAGTTGGCCTGGAATCAATGGTAAGAGATACTTCATCTTTCATATCTTCAAATTAGAATATGTACAAGGACATGATCAAGGTTGGAGGATGGTAAAATGGTATTCATTTGAGATAGCATTTTCTTTCCATTTGTGTACATTGGTATTTTTAACATGTACATCTTAAAAAGAAGTCCTTGTTCCTCTAGCAGAAGAGGATTAGATTGTTGTTTTTTTTTTTTGGGGGGGGGTCCAGTCGTGGGGCCTGAACTCTGGGCCTGGGCGCTGTCCCTCAGCTCTTCAGCTCAAGGCTAGCGCTCTACCACTGAGCCACAGCACCACTTCCTGCTTTTTTCTTTTTGCTAATGTGGTGCTGAGGAATCGAACCCAGGGCCTCATGCATGCAAGGCAAGCGCTCTACCACTGAGCCACCTTCCCAGCCCCTAGATTATGTTTTTGAAGCAAGGTCTTACTATGTACCCCAAACTGGCCTTGAAACTTTCTCTGTAGCTCAGTCCTCTAGTTTCAGACACAGAGTCCTCCTACCTTAGCCTCCCTAATGCTGGGAATAGAGATGTGAGCTACATATGAGGCTTTAGAAAGTTCATTTGATCCTTTGGTGGAGGGAACAGCCTAACTTTGATACTGAGCATGACCTGTAATCAGGGCATACTGTCTGATGGGTGGCTTTAGTGGCCCATTGATTTTCTTCCATTAAGCAAGGAAACTCCTTGCCACTTTCTTTCCAACATGGATGGTTTTAGCTAACTGGAACCAGGAGTCTGCCCAGGCCTATGCCTACTACTCCCTGACCTGTTCCAGAACTCAGAAAACTATGCTGTTTATAGGCAGAATGAATGAAGAGAATTATAGTACATGGTATAGAAAACCCCAAGGAGACATTCTACCAGTTAGGGCCTGGTTCACTCATATCCAACCTGCTTGGGGCATAGTCCGCATGTTAATCTTGTTACACCCACAAAATCCAGTGCAGAAGGCAGTGGGCTTCTCAGGTACACATCCCAGTCCCTGCTGCAGACAGGTGTATGAACTGGGAGGTATGGGCGGGGAGGTGGTTATATTCAGGCCTCTTTTATCCAGGACAGAAGTGCAGAGCTATGACTCTCAGGGAAGAGGGAGAATGGGAGGAGGGCTGGTACTTGCTGCTCTTTCCATTCAGAAGTTACGTGGGGAGCATATGTCCGTGTCCCATTGCTCCAGTTTCTCTCCCCTGCAGTGTGCAACCAGCAGACTGCCCCGAATTGGAGGAAAGGCATGATCCACCTTGTATGGGGAGTAACACTGATGGCAGCTTTGCTTTTAACCATAGGTCCTGAAGATGGCCTAGTCATAAGGCACCTTCCATGACTGTGCGCATTGTTCCCCGTGCCAGCCAGCTTGGACCAGTGGCTTCGTGTTGAGCGGAAGGAACTTGGGCACCCACTGAACCTCTTTCTGTGCTAATTCATGAGCCAGCAGGATGCGGTCGCTGCGCTGTCAGAACGCCTTCTCATAGCTGCGTACAAAGGCCAAGCGGAGAATGTGGTTCAGCTCATCAACAAGGGCGCCAAGGTAGCGGTTACCAAGGTAACGAGAGAAAAAAACAACACCCTGTACCCATTCTCCGGGAATAGTCTACCTCTGGCCCCATTGTCCAAAGCACTGTCATTTGGTTCAGCTTTTAAAGAATTTGGTTTTTAGTTCAGTGGTGGAGGTTTGAAGAAAAAGAATTAAAAATACTTTCATTGCTCTTTCGAATAGACTAATTTGTCATTAGCATTGGATAGTCTAAAATCACAGTGTGGCTTTTTCTTCCCTACTTTTTTAGTCAAACAGATCTGTTGGGAGTTGGGGCACAAAAGCTTACTTGATAAGAGGGTTGCTGGGCCAATATGCAATTGGGGAAGGGCTTCTCTGCAAGGTCTATCTCCTCATCACCATCTATAAAGTGATGACCTAGACCCGACCAGATCACCCACCACCACGGATGGGCCCTGATTTCATGTGGGCCAGAGATGATGTGTGACAGGACATTGTTTACCCTCACCAGCAGTTAATACCAGGATAGGCAAGGGAGCATACTGGCCAAAGACACTTCTATAATATGGCCAAGAAAAGACAGGCTTGGTACAGTTAGGTGTCAAGTTCACATACACTGTCAAAGATGGGAAACTTGTCATTCCCCAGTGTTGCTCTGAACGCTGTTCACCAATCACTATTGCTCCTCCCTACTTTGGAGAAAGAGGCTTGAGTAACTGCCCTGGCAGACAAGCACCTTGTAACATTGTACCCATGGAATGTGCCTCCAGGCCCCCTCCCTCCTGTGCAGACCACTCCACAGAAATAGTACTACCTGGTAGCTCTTGACTCTGGGCTGGAGAGGGACTGTTCTCCTTTTGGGATACTCACATGTGCTCTCTATATTGCTCAGTGGGGCTCTAGAGGGGGAAAAAAAGCAGGAACATTTCAGGATTGCCAGGGAGCTCAACTGTGTTCTGCTTGTACACAGTTGTGTATAACTGAAGGGGAAGGGAGACTTCTTTTTTTTGGGAGGGGGTCGGTTTTGGGGCCTGAACTCTAGGCCTGGGCACTGTCCCTCAGCTCTTCAGCTCGAGGCTAGCGCTCTACCACTTGAGCCACAGTGCCACTTCCGGCTTTTTTCTTATGTGGTGCTGAGGAATCGAACCCAGGGCCTCAGGCATGCAAGGCAAGCGCTCTACCACTGAGCCACCTTCCCAGCCCCAGGAGGGAGACTTCTTAGGCCTTCCTTGATCTGCCCATAGTAGACCTAGGCAACAGGAAGTGGGTGAGCTGTCTAGTTAAAACACATGCTCACAGCTTTTAACTTTGCTTTTTCAGATTTTTAATTTGTTTTGCTACTGATTATTAGCATGCATTAGTTGTACAAGAGGGATTTCACTGTGACATTTCCGCACATGTAAACAATGCATGCTGTTCAGCTCTCCACTTTTCCCCTTCTCTTTTTAAAAAATAAACGCTTTATTAAACAGAAGGGTTACAGTTATATAAATCAGGCAGAGTACATTTCCTTTTGGACAACGTCACCCCTTCCCTGGCTCTCTCCCAGTTTTTCCCTCCCATCCCACCTACTACTTGTATAGTTCATTTTCAATGTGGTATCCAGTGAGTTTATTTTATTTGTTGCTCTTAGGGCATGAACTCTGGGCCTGGATACTGTCTCTGAGCTTCTAGTGCTCTGTCGCTTGAGCCGCAGATCCACTTCCAGCCTTTTCTGTGATTAATTGGAGATGAGTCTCATGGATTCAGGCTCTGGTGGCTATGCCTGATATCATAGCTATTCAGGAGGCTGAGATCTGAGGATCTTGGTTTGAAGCCAGCCTGGGCAGGAAAGTATAAGATTCTTATCCCCAATTAACCACCAGGAAACTGAAAGTGGTACAGTGGCTCAAAGTGGTGGAGCACTAGTCTTGAGCACAAAAGCTCAGGGACAGTGTCCATTCCTTGAGTTCAAGCCCCATGACCGGCAAAAAAAAAAAAAGTCTCATGGACTTTCCTGCCCAGGCTGGCTTTGAACCATAGTCCTCACATCTCATCCTCCTGGGCTGCTAGTTTGACAGGTGTGAGCCACCAGTACTCAGCTTAACTTTGCTTTTTGGCTAATTGTTCTAGTTGCTACTTCTCTGAGCCTCAGTTTACTTATCTATGAGACAATAATAATGCCAACTTTCTAGGATTGTTCTAACAATAGTAACTTATTTAAGACAGCACAATGCCTCGTTAAAAACAGGCTTTATCTTTTGCTTTGGGATATGAAAGAGAAAAAAAAACTACCCCACAGCTCTATTGAGGTATGCTTTACATACCAAAGCCTGCTCATTTTCAATTATACAATTCAATAATTTCTAGTATATGTATAAAGTATGTACAGTCGTGATCACCACTGCTGTGGACTAAATTGTTTTCCTTCAAAGTTTGTAAATTAAAGCTGTAACCCCTAGCCAGGCATGGTGGTGCATACTTGTAATCCTAGCCCTTGAGAGATCAGGGCAGAAGGATGGCAAAGTCAAGCCAGCCTCAGCTATATAACAGGTTCCAGGCCAGCTTGGATAACACAGAGAAGTAGTTACTCTAAATACTTTGGTCAGTAATTAGATTTAGATGAAGTCATGAAGACGGGGCCCTCATGAAGAGATGAGTATCCTTAGAAACAGAGACACCATGAACCTTTACTCCATCATTCTGAGATGTGAAGATAGATTCAGAGAAGGGCGTTGTCAGCAAGACCCAATCATATTGGCACCCCGTTCTTCAACTTCTCCACCTCCAGAATTGTGAGAAACTGATTTCTGTTGTTTTGACAGTCTGAGAACCACATCTGAATTTTAGAATACTATCATCCCAGTAAGAAACTTTACCCAGTAGCTATCACTGCCCATTTCCATTGCAGCTACTGGGAGCCACGAATCTACTTGCTGTCTCTGTCATTTTACCTTTTTTGAACATGGCCTATAAACAGAATTGTAAAAATACAGAAGTGGGCTGGGAAGGTGGCTCAGCGGCAGAGCACTTGCCTTGCAATGCATGAGGCCCTGGGTTCGATTCCTCAGCACCACATAAGCAAAAAGAAAAAAGCCGGAAGTGGTGCTGTGGCTCAAGTGGTAGAGTGCTAGCCTTGAGCTGAAGAGCTGAGGGACAGGGCCCAGGCCCAGAGTTCAGGCCCCACAACTGGACCAAAAAAAAAAAAAACAACCCCACAAGTAAAAATACAGAAGTGTTTATTTCTGACTTCCTTTACTTAGCATAATATTTTCAAGGTTCATCCACTTGGTATTGTGGGGCAGTACTTCATGCTTTTTTATGAGTTACTACCAATACATTTTTATGTAAATAGAGTGGCTTTCCTTTCTCTGTTGGGGGATACATACATTCCAAGACCCCCAAGGGATTACGGAAGCTTCATTATAATACCAGCCCCCAATTGAGCTATGTTGTTTATACACACATACCTGTCATGAAAGCATGATTTATAAGTTAGACACAATAAAGTAAGCAATAACCCATAATGAGATAGAATAATTGTGACAGTATACTGTGATAAAATTGCCAGTGTCACTATTTTGGTGCTTTAGGATCATTGTTAAGTGATGTGTTAAGACAACCTGTATACTAGGGTACAGTAATGACTAAGATGACAATCAAGGGACTTTTTGCTTTCTTTCTTTCTTTATTTTTGTTGGTCATGGGGCTTGAACTCTGGGCCTGGGCGCTGTCCCTCAGTGCTTCAGCTCAAGGTGAGCACTCTACCACTTGAGCCACAGCGCCACTTCCAGTTTTCTGAGTGGTTTATTGGAGATAAGAGTCTCACAGACTTTCCTGTCCAGGCTGGCTTTGAACTGCAATCCTCAGATTTCAGTCTTCTGAGTAGCTAGGATTACAGACTTGAGCCACAGTGCGTGGCTGCTTTAGTTTGCTTTTGTTAAGATCTTAATTTTTGACCTCTAGTGGCTTTGGATGGTGATCCTTTTACCTCTACCTCAGGTATGGTGTGTACCACCATACTTGACCCTTTTCCCTTTCTTTTCCTAAGTATAATCTTCCCATTCCAAGAAATAGTTTTGTTTATCTTTGAAGAAATATATAAATATATATGTATACAAAATCAGATTTACTTAAAAATAGGCCTATGTTGTACCAAATAACCCTTTTACTTACTGTATTAATCTGAGAGATTGTTGTACCTAGATCTAATTATTTGTTAAAACACCCCTGTGATCTCCCATTATTTTGCATAGCTGCATATATTGTTATCCAGTCACTTCTGGGCAGTTGGGTTGCCTACAAGTTTGTATTGTCTACTGCTATATGTTCTACAGTGGATATACAAACTGGGTAGATTTCTAGAATGAAAATCCCTAAAACAAACAAACAAAAAGTATTCCTCAAAAATTTAATGCTCCCTTCTAAAGGGCCACACTCTCCTTCCAGTTGAGTGGACCATGGGGATGCAGGCCAGAGCCTGGAAAGAGAGGTACATGTCATGGTCCTGCTGCTGGTCTATTGATTTAAGCTTCTGGTTTCTAAGAGGAGTATGGTGGGAGAAAACTTTCACTTGAGAAAGGGTGTATACAGCATGTATCTTCCAAAGGACCTATACATTTTTTTTTAAAGATTGACACTTTACGTCCTGTGCTGAAGCAATGGTTCTAATAAGAAGTATAAAGGCTGACGGGCTGACGGCGTTCCTTCCTGCTGTGTACACACACACACACACACACACACACACACACACACACACACACACACACACACACACACACACACACACACACACACACACACACACACACACACACACACACACACACACACACACACACACACACACACACCCCACCCCACCCCACCCCACCCCACCCCACCCCACTCCACCCCAGCAATTTCCTTGCCGGAGGCACCTTCTGCTACCTGTTCTTCAGTTTTCCTGGAGATAGTGCATGCATAGACACGCAACCAGATGTAGCTCTCTGTGTTTCTCCTTGTTAAGACAAATTATAGGATGCTACACACACACTTCTTTGTTCTATTCAATAGCATATGTTTCTGCC